GCAGGTTTCAAATGCGCCAGAATTAGAACCATTATCTTTTAAATGAAAACTAATGGAAAAGGTTTTATATCCTTACCTATCGCTCAAAAACCTTACTATTCTAAGAAATATAAATTGGGAGCATGTATTTTTATCGAATGTTGGATATATTTTGTGTTTATGGTGTACAATGTTCAAATCAGTTTAAATGCCAAATAATAATCGGCATAAAATTCTGAAATCCTTCAAAGGCGCCTATCTATAAGATTCGTGGATCGTGTTTTGTATCAGGCACATATTGTTAATAATATTTATCAACTTTATATCATATATAAAAAATTCATTACGTTTTTTCTGGGAATCAAACCCGGCAAATATTAAAGCAGAGAATTCAATTTTAATTGCTATTGAGTGAAGTTTTTCTCCTTTATTCACTAATAGATTAAATAGGCCGGAAAAAGGATCCACACTATACAATAGAACGAAATAAATAACTCAAAGAAACCTAAGGAAGTATAAGAAAAAGTTATCCTATGTTTTGGGATTAAGTTGTTGAATAAAGCAACCGCCTACGTACACGTGCCTGTTCAATCAACACGGTGAAGGTCACAAGTCCAAAATTGTCCATATACTCCTCACAAATACGGGCCTAGGCCGTTGATCTCCTAGAAAATCTTTCAGAGCCTTCTTCGCCCTTGACCTTTACCCGCGCAGGCGCCTTCTTACTTATTACGACCTGGCTCCTTTATCAGATGAATCTAAAGAATTCTAATTTTCCTTATGTTAAAATTATAGTATTGAGTTTTAACTTCCCTTTAATTTTCATTAATCGCAATATAATAATAATTAAATCGCAATATTTCAATCATACAAATACAGACTACGCGTAATTATTATTTATTAATTGCCGAAAGCTTAGTTGTATACTTAATTGTACTGAATTGTTTACAGAGTAACACTTATATAAAATTAAACTTTTTATAATTTAATTTATCTTAAAAGTTAAATGAACAGATTGATGCCTCTAAATGATTTTGAAAAAAATACTAAAAAATTCAAATATAGATACAGTTTTAGGTAATTTTCATAAATTATAACATGTGTTGTATGATCAATCAATTAATATTTTTTTGGTTTCATTATGTATTATAAATATGTATCTGCTACATATGATAATATAGTTTTGTCAAATCGGAATACGAGAACGAAACTTTATATACCTCTGCCGCCATCTAGGGGAAGTTACATGCAATTTGAAAGTGACGAGCTGTCGTCTGTTCTGCTGCTCTGTGCTCTGTTCTGATAAGAGAAGATAAATATTTCGTGTTCTGTCCGACAAGGTAATATTTTTGAATACCAGTTTAACTTCAGCCATATCTTAGCCAAATATTTAGATTTTATTTTTAATTAATTGCACAATATAAACAATAGTATTTCATAAATTATACTTTGTTCTCGCTCCTGGTTCTGTTCACATTCTTTATAGAAATTTTCATTACTTATGAACTTGTAGAGATCGCTTATTAGCATACGGGCATACTATTTTTTTAAATAAAGTTTTGTTTATTTTTATTCTATGCGCTGTACAATACATACATATGAAATAAATTAGTAATTAAACATTTCTTAAAACGATCGGTGGACTATTTTCTCTAACAATAAGTAATTCAGTTTTCCTGATCAAAATATTTTAAACATTTCAGCCCTCTCTGCATCTTAAACGACCTTTAGGATCTAAGGGTAAAAAAAGGTAAAGCACATATTCAAGTGTATAGAAGTTAGGTGGGCGAGCGCAGGCCGCGGCCGTGTTGCAGGGGAAGCGAGCATTAACCCTTTCTGCAGTTCATTCGCCGTCTGGCCTCACCCCTGCAACCACCCACTCGCCCCTTGAAGCGACCCGACTGCACATTTACCACACTGAAGCCAAATTACACATCTACCTGTTAAACTTACGCTATATTGTTTTAATTCTACATGACTTATTTTATACTTTATGTACAATACATACATAGGGCACACATTTATATTATATAGAGTGTGCAAGAGATTATGTTACCCCTCTTACGAATTTTGAGCAGTTGAAGACTAAAATAACGACAGAAGTGAGAGCCATATCAGTTGACGTCCTGCGGCGTGTGTCTGCAAATTCGCTAGACCTCTTGATGGTGTAATATTCCGTACATAAAATCAGCACTAATACATTATACTTTACTGCAATTATAATATTACAAATACAATTTGTGTATGTATTTTTAATATTTTTTTATAATTATTTAAAGTTTAAAATCGGCGCTGAGACACCCTTTATAATGAAAGTATTAGCTTGTACTTAACAGTTACGAATAATTTACTTATTAACTTTAAACTACTTAATTATTAATTAGTTAATGGGTTACTACAATATCACCGTATTTAATAAATATAAAAGTGCATTAAATAATCATATTCTGAGCCTAAAAGACTGAAGATACAAAATAATAAAACTGGCAATAATAATTAAGGTCTCACATAAAAAAATTATTTTGCTCATAAGAATAAAGTTATTTAAACATTATTTACCTACCTATGACCACTATTATTTAAGTGTTACCATGATCAATAATTGATTTGGAAAGATAATCTGCATCAAATCAACGGTCTTATATTATAAAAATATATTAAACTTACGTTACTTTAAATAATAATTGTATAATCTCCTAGTACGTACAGAACAATTGAATGTACAATGTTCAAGTATCGCTCTATGACGTCACAGAGGGGTATAGGGTAGTTGGACTCCTTTCTCCGCATTTAGACTCCTAATTGGTCCGTTGTGCGTACGAGTCCTGGCTAATTTAGCCAGCCTAGCTCCTTCCAAAAGCACAGAAGTCTCCTGGGCACTTCACAGGCTTCCCCCAGCGACCTCACCGTTCCGAGGATTTTTTCACGTTGATTAGCCACAGCCACGCATTCCAGGACTACGTGGGTGACTGTTTCCTCTGCGCTGAAACAGCCTCTGCACAGGGGGCTGTCTGTCGCGCCTAGGACAAAAAGATGTTTATTTAGGAGGCAATGACCCGTTATTGTCCCTAACATTGTTTTAAGGCTAGTTCTATTTAAGCTTAGTAGTCGCTTTGTCAGTTGCGGGTTCACTGCTGGCAGAGCCATTTTGGACTGTTTGCAGACCGCACTATGCGACCATCGTTGTTGCTGGAGTTCAGCGGATCTCTGGCGAATCCAGGTTCTCACCAGCGAGAAGGGCAAGGGGAGGAGCGGATACGGGCCAGCAGGCATCATTCCGGAGCCTCTTCTCGCAAGCTCGTCAGCAGCATTATTGCCGAGAGATCCACTGTGTCCCTTTATCCACTGCAAGGTAACCCTATTGGTTCGGGTTATAGCCTCCAGTGCTTCATGACACTCCAGTATTAGTTTGCTGTTGGTTTTTTTGTTTCCAAGCGCTATCAGCACGGATACACTGTCGGATACGAATCTAATGCAAAAGTCATTAATCCCGCGACGTTGCACGGCTCTGGCTGCTTCGGTTAAGGCGACACATTCACATTGAAAGATCGTGCTCTGTGTGCCCAGGGGTAGGTGTATGTTGATGTTGAGATCAAGAGAGAATATGCCAGCGCCTGAGCCAGACCTTGTTTTAGATCCATCTGTATATATACGTAGCTCATTCATGGTCGACCGATCATGTTCCTCTTCTCTCAGTTGTATGTGGTATTTCCTGTTAAATATTAGTTGGTTAGTGATTCTATCACAGGGCGCAGCTATAACAGGTTGATACTCTATCGCCCTGTTGAGAATCGCTGTGTGTGCACTATAGTGACTTTTTCCCCATAGATCCAGTACCATAAGCCTGATAGCAGCCAGGGCTGCCTCCTGCTGTATGTGTAGGTCTAGAGGTAAGATCTGCAGGGCCATCTCCATTGTTGCAGTTGGTGTTGTTTTCATGCAATCGCTAGCAGCGGACAAAGCAAGCCTTTGGAAGCGTCCAAGTTTAGTAATTGCCGTTTGAAGTTCTGTTCTAGGCCACCAAACAAGGGCTCCGTAGGCTAGCATTGGCCTGATAATGGCAGTGTATAGCCATATAGTTATCTTAGGCGACAAGCCCCATTTCACGCCTAGCATCTTTTTGCATTGATAGAAGGCGATCGTTGCTTTGTTTAGTTTGTGTTCTAGATGTTTGTTCCAGAGCAGTTTACTGTCCAAGGTCACACCTAGGTACTTGATTTCATTCTTAAGTCTGAGTTCAGTGTTGAAGAGTTTCGGAAGTCTGTACGGTCCCAGAACTCTTCGGTTGGTAAAGAGTATTAGTTCTGTTTTTGATGGGTTGACAGATAATTCGTGCACATTGCACCATCTCTCAATCACTTTGAAAGCTCTTCTCATGCGGTCACATAAGGTGCTTTCAAAGTTCCCAGATATCAAAATAGCTATGTCGTCACAGAGAACACGCTAAAGAAAAATTGCGCCGTATATTATATATATAATATTTTTTGTATACACCTAAAAATAACGACAGTGCTGCTGGATGTGGAACGAGTTTCTATAATATATAAACTTAAAACTATTGCCATAATATAAAAAAAAAAATTGGTACTCATATATTTACAACAATATCGATTCTATACTCTTTATTTAATTACACACAAACGAGAGCTATAATGGCAAAACATATGTTACGATATGCAAGTAATATTTTGAATAAAACCGCTTAATATTTGATAAATTTCACTAATAACATGTTTAAATTAAACAACCAATTCAAATGTCAAATAGTGTAAAATAAGAATTTAGCTAGTCTGACTAAAGGACCATTGTACCCATGTAATAAGTTTATAAAATAAAACACCGAATGTCATGAGTCTGTGGTATAAATGTCATGTTCATCGTGTGCAGTATGTACTGTCAATGTCAAACATTTTCATAGACCTAAGACATCAAGACACCCTCGATCGTCAACATTCTGGCGAATTTTATGTTTAATTCGTAGTTCTAATTTGTCTATGTTTGTACTCAAGATCATATAAATAATGCCGAAAAACAAAGGAAAAGGAGGTAAAAACAGGAGGAGAGGAAAGAACGAGAATGAAACTGAAAAACGTGAGTTAGTTTTCAAAGAAGACGGTCAGGAGTACGCCCAAGTCACAAAGATGCTCGGTAATGGCCGCTTGGAGGCCATGTGCTTTGATGGCATTAAACGTCTCTGCCACATCAGAGGGAAACTTAGGAAAAAGGTTTGGATAAACCAAGGAGATATTATATTAATTGGTTTACGAGATTATCAAGACGCCAAGGCTGACGTCATATTAAAATATACACCCGATGAAGCAAGGAACCTTAAAACTTACGGTGAATTCCCAGAGACTGTACGTATTAATGAAACGGTTGTTTATTCCGTGGATGGTTTGGATGAAGACATTGAGTTTGGAGATGAAGTCAGCTCAGATGATGAAGCTGATCCTGTTGATGCAGTCTAACCCCTGTTGATCCTAAATCCTTTAGTAACTATGTAAGTTTTTGTAAATTATTTTTGTTCTATAGAATGATTTACCCCAATAAATAAAATTTCATGGATCTGTCTATATATTTAGGCATCTGCAAACAATGCTACAAAATTCTAATATCTGTATTATTTATTGAAATAGTTAATTTACAAGTCAAAAATTACATGTCATCCGCTAGGACTTATTGCATAACATTCCTGGAAAATATGTAAAACTTTAAAATTGCTTAAAATCTAAGGAATGTACATAATTAAATACTTTTAAAAACTTTCTTGTGTTTACTTTTACTCATATCATAGTGTACTTTAGTATTTAGATTTTTGTAATGTTTGGCCTAATACAGTTTTATAGTTGTTTTCAATAGTTATCAAGACTCAAACTAACTCAACAATATTAAATAAGTATAGACTACAATATAATATGAATACAAAGTAATAAATTAAACTTACCTATTGCATTAGCAAACAATTAAGCACATTTATAGGTAGTATAGAAGTAATTATATATTACATTTTACTATTTTTTAATAGTATTTCTACTATGTTTTAAATTCAGATTCAGTTATAACCATAATTAATTAAATCCTCAACCAGTCTAACTACCAACTAGCCGGCCCGTAAGCCCCAGTGGCTAATGTCGAGAAGTTGTATATTTTCCTATTTTAACGCTATATACATGTGTAATTTTATTAGTGTAAGTAGCTGTTATATTAGGTTAATAAATGAATTTCTAAATTTTAACAATGTACTCTGTGGTTTTAACTATTATGGCCGATGGCATCAGTCAGTCATACACTTACCTTGTGCTAAGTGCTTGGTTAATCATAAATTTCTGTGTTTCCTCACTGTTTCACAAATTTCCTATAATTTTTTCACAATTTGGTTTGACTTTGGAGATTCTCTTTTACATTTTTTTTACATACCTTTGCATTTTACTTTTACTACAATTTGCCCTTGAATTGGACTTTATTAAAAATGCAGTTCTCGTAAGTATACTCATATATTTTATTAGTAAATTACATTTACATACATGTTTGATTTTTCAGGCTTTGTTTTGTATATATATTGCATTTATATTTATTAAAATTATGTGGTCATGAGCATGAAACTAAGTAATATGTGAAAAATAATGAGCTATATTTACAATTTATATATTATTTAGTCTTCAACTTTTCTTATTATTTAAAGCAACAGTAATTTAAATTATTATTTCTCTTTCAGGTCTACAAAGTGATTTAGTTTATCATTATTTTCCTAATCCTAAAAATGATGTTTCAAGGCTTGATACATCATTTGATCCCTGTTATGTTTTCAAGTATCAGAAAGTTTGTCATGTGCATTTAAAATTGAAATGTTTTACATGGACAGAGAGATTAAGTATCATTTCTATACCGGGTAAGACATTTCTTATGAGGAAATGTAGTTGTTTCTATTATAGATACTTAATCATATGTCCTATACCTCATAGATCAACATTTATGCTAAAAAATACTATTCCTAGATAGATAGATCTCATTTATAAAGCAATAAGTAATAGTAGTAAATATCTGATAATTATTACTTAAATTATTATTAAACATTCATTATTATAGCTCCAATGACCAACATAACAAACATAGGTACTATAAAATGTGCTATTGCTCTTTAACTTCCAGATATTTTATTTTAAATAAAGGTTATACTAAACTGTATGTAATGTAAAACCAATTACATTGGTTTCAAAGAAAGTAAACAATAAAAGTGTTAATTATCAATGGCTGTACCTAACCATGCTAAACAGAATATATTTAAAAATGCTATATGAGATTTCTTAAGTTTTTATCTGCTTGTTAAAGTCAGCATTGTTTGTTCACAATTTCTCTGTATTCTATTAAACCAATGTATTTTTTAAATATTATTTTTACCAGACAGCAAAAGAAATAAACCGCGAAACTCTACTATGAAGAGTTCTATTGTTGTAAGGATACATGTTATTGCCATTACATCGAAATTTATTTTGTCATAAACAAGTTTATTTAATATTTTTAGACTTTAAGTTTATATGAAAGGTGTCTAAGATTTTTCAATTTTTTATTTGATAAAAAAAAACATCAGCATCCATATGCATGTATGGTAGACATTCAACATTGCATACATTGACAACAAAAATTTTATCTTGCCATCTTCTATGGAATTAAGTACATTGAGAGCACAAGCCAATATAAAACCAGACCTAAATGAAAATATTTTTCATCAAGTAAAAAAAGAAGACACCACTGCTTTTGAATATTTCAAGAATAAAAACAATAAGAGTAATCAATAATATTTAATTAGTTTTATTAACTTACATTATTATATTTCTACATAATATAGTAATTTAAAAAAAATACTGTATATCGCTGTGATTTGTAAGCGCAAATTGTAGGTGTAATAAAATCCGAACTGTATAGAATTCCTTTACTTTATTTATTAACAATCAACTATAAATCGAAACTGTCCAAGTTTGATTATCTTATTACCCCCTCTTTTTAACAGACGTGGAAAAAAATTCCATCATTCGATGTCCTTCCTGTTCGATGCACTCAGCTACAATTCGCCGCATACGGCATAGTAGTACTGGAAACCCCTAAAGGAAGTCACAATTAAATACCGAAGAAAAATATCAAAACCACTCAGTCCAACTTACCGATCAACTCTACCACGCGCTTTAAAATCAAATATTGAGTTTAATTTATACTGTCTTCCTTTATTTTATGATAAACATTGAAAACAATATTTCTCGCTTGAGATCGAAGTGGGGTTTTCGACATTTTCACAAAAGTCAAAAACAACAAATTTCAAGAAGATAATAACAAAATCTCATGATTTTTTTTTTTTTTTTGGGATTTTATGACCTGGCATGTACAACCTTTAGGTCAACTCTTAATTTTCATAAATCTCATGATGATGATATTAATTTATCCCTAATTGGAAAGGCAAAGGACTTTAGTCCATACGGGCAGGTCTTGTTCTTTTACAAAATCTCAGCAGTGGATGACAGTTCTCGTACTTTGATGTGACGGCTGACACTTGACATTGCCATATGAAAATCTTATTGTGTTATCAACCGTATCATATTTATTGAGCATGTGAGATAATTTCATAACTATTGTACCATCGTACATATTAAGTTATGGCATTACATTGTGTTATGCCATGAGATCAGTGAGGCCAACTCCTACAAAATGTTCCCCCTAGGACCAACTTCAAATACCCCTAAATGTCGCTCAAAAACCCCTAAAGTTTTTGTTGTACACTTGGTTTCAGAGGTGATTTCAAATATGAATTAAAAATACGATGAAGTAGTAAAAATAGCTGTTGTATTTATATGAGTACATTTTACATATTTATATATGTTAATCAATGACCGAATCATATTAATGATAATAACAATGAGATGAAACGATTCTTATTTTTTATATCTTAATTTTTTTTTTTCGAATTCAGTTTTTCTTAACGTGTCTTGCCAGATATTTTTTGCGTTTTCGTCATTTTCTTTTCATACATTATTTCGCCATTATTCGTTCGGATTAAATTATTGTTTTTCGATATTTAAGCTGTAGCCAGGCTTGGAGTTTATATTTGGTTTAGTTTGTTGATTGCGTTCGAAGCTTAATATAAATTGTATAGAATCGTGTGTTTGCAGAAAAAAAGGGTGCGTGTACTTATGTACGCGCGTAAGAAGTTATACTTCTTTGGCATTATTAAAAATAGTTTTTGATTGCATGCAAATAATTACAATTAAATAATCAAAGACTGGAAAAGGAGTCATTATAGTCAATAAAGTTCAGTTTACATTTGAAAAATTAAATAAATAAATATATATTAATACTATTATATTTTTTTTTTTTCTAATATTAATTAGTATTGATTTAAATATTCAATTTATTTATCTGATTATAATTCAGACGCACATATAAAATTAGCACTTGTATAATGAAAACAATTTGAAAACACGTGTTTTAAATGTAGAAACTCAAAGCATGTGGATAAATATTATTAAATATATAAATACACAGTGAACAGAGGACAACATGCACCACTAACTTCATTCTGTTAATTTTGTGTCACGGTGCGCGCGCATCGTAAAATTTCACTCTCATCAATTTTTCATAACGCGCCTATAGAAGTATAACTTCAAAAAAAATCTTGAATGAAGTAACCCTAAAAAATCCCCCTAAATAAATGTACCACTAGAAAACCCCCTGGAACTCTTGTTTCCCCCTAAATTTGGGGGGAAAACCCACAAGTTGGCATCTCTGCATGAGATTCCGGTAGACCTATACCACAATCCAAGTTCCAACACGTTAGCTTTATATCTAATATCTATACACATCGTCATGTAAAAGTTAGTCTGTGGTGTAAACTGTCTGTCTGTCTATATATTAATACCTATTATAATTCTAGATATTACAATTCTAAAATCTATTTCTCAAATTCATGGATTCTCTTTGTATAATCTATTAAACTGCAAAATATACTCTATAAAATGTTGCCATCTTGCAACTTTTGTTTCCATTGGAAAATGTAAATTGTAAATTGTAATCGCCATATTGGATTTTGTTGTGCATCGGTAGAAAACATTGTGAGCACGTGGATTGTTGGAATAAAATTATTCGGCGAAAATTTTAAGTACATTTATATATTCGCTTATTTTAGAAGTACACTTATTTATTTTATACTGAATATTTTAACATCATCATCATCTATCAAAGTAAGTACCGTATTTTATTTACCGGCATCATTCCACATTTAGACCACGGTTCATTCTAATAGTAGGTCGCGATGACGAGACTTCATAAGAGATTTAACTTAAATTAATTTATGTTTAGTAATTACATATCACATCCATACCTTAAGTGTGACGAATAGATGGCACGTTGAATGTTCTATATTGACATTTCGTTAATTGCGTAACCTTTCGTTTTTTAAGTTCGTACAATTGCTTACGTGTTGTTCGTGAAGGTTTCTCAGACCACATTGCTCGTGACCCAAACCGGACAACGTTTACGTAGCCAACGTAGGTAATAACACAAGCACATGGTCAACATAAATTCCTAATTAGACCAGCTATTTTCTGTTTTAGATTTTTGTTAATATAAAAGTGCAATATTTATAAGCGATCCATGTAAATAGCACCGTATGTTGTAACCGGTGGAGTATTTATTGTGGTTATTATCTACACGCGTTATTAAACATTGTTCTAATAAATTATATATTGTTACTATTTCTACAGTATGGCTGCGGTATGTAAATATATATTTTTTTAAATTAATAATTATTAAAAATCCAAAAATCTGATCTTTTCTATAAAATATGGTTTTTGTTTAATTACTTTAATCCATACAGATAGGCAAAGGCAACCTGATTTTTACCTAAATTGAATATTATACTCTTATTCATAAGTTCTTTTTGTTATCAATTTTATCTGGCCTACATTCGCTAAAAACTCTGAATGATAAACATTTAGTTTTTTTTATTGTCTTATCAAATTTTATCATTTCGGTTGTCTGTTTTTAATAGTGTGGAAGCTAAGAATTATTAAGTGATGGGATATACATTTAAATAGTTCCTAATTAAAACTCAGATGAAAATTAACACAATCATAAGATTCTTTTATATCTTCAATTAGAGTTCTTTTGTTATAGTTGTTTCGTAAAAGTGGCTCTTTACAATGGCACCTTGTCGTCAATTGCTTATGTGGTCAGTGCCATCAATAGCTGTCTTGTTAGGAATCTTTTGGTTCAAGAAAAAGAGAGAATATGCAAAATCTGACCCAGGTGGAAGAGAAAGAATAAAAAGTCTTCAAGAAGAACTAGCAGAGGCATTGAGTGCTGAAGCTGAAATTAGAAGATTATCTCCCCTGGGAAAGGCTGACCGTTCCCTCATAAAATCAGCTCCTATTGATATTATTCCTAATGGTACTGGCTCACAAAGATCTTCTCTTGAATTAACAGATGAAGAAGTTGATTTGGAGATTGAAAAGATTATAAGAAAAAAGTCACTTGACAAAGAAAAGAAAATGTCTGTAGGTAGTGATAACTATATGGAAAGTGTAAAGGTGAAGGAGAATCCTTGTGTTATAAAGGAAGTACAGTGTGATATATACTCATCTTTCAGAATAGATATGACTTGTGAAAGCAGAGAAAACTTGTGTTCTACCAAAATTAATGAAGATTGTGGAACCTCAATTGCAATGGAAAATGACCATGATGAAGTATCTGTCATCAATTCTCAGGTGAATACACCTAAACTTGAAGTCTTCCCATCTCAAAGCAATCTATCTGAAAATACAACAGATAATAAATCTGAAGATTTAACTGCAACCAACAATGAAACTGAAGAATCTAGAAGTAGAGAGGAACAAATGGATGTACAAGATACATATTCAGACTCACAGCCAAGAAGAATTTCTGAAAGAGATTCAGCCAATCATAGTCCGGTAGACCCCATGCTGGCAAGCCCATCCATGTGTCACTTTTCAGATGATCATAGTGAGGTAAGGCAATTCAGTCTTAATTAAAAATGTATGTATATCTTATATTTCTGTGTTATACATGTTTAAACCTTCTTTTTAACATTTCTAGGGTTCTAGTGACAGTGGTAAAGGATGTTCAGAGGCTGCTAGCCCTCCTCCAACTAACATGAATATTATACCTTCTGAGGCTGGTTTGAGAATACACCAATTCTTAATACCTACATCATTAGTGGGACTTTTAATAGGAAAATGTGGTTCATTTGTGACATGCATCAAAGCAAAAACTGGTGCAACAGTATATGTAAGGAGACATCCAGAATTATCTAAACAGAAAATTTGTGCCATTGAGGGTAAATATAATAAATATAATTTATAAAAATAATACTTTTCTATCACTAATTACTACCTATTACTTTACAAGAATATGTTAAGTTAACATTAATAATCATACACAATCTCATTAGCTATAATTGCTTATTAAATTTTAGGTACTCAAAGTGAAATTGAAGCAGCATTAGAAATGATTAAAGATAAATTCCCTGAAAAGAGATTCCCAAACTTTACCACACAGGAGATCAGTGCGGAATTATATCAACGATTGGCACCCTTAGTACCAGAGTACCTTCAAGTGAGTCACAAACAAAATATAAGATATCCATTTTAGTTTGTCTTTAAGAAATTAACTCATTGTCATATAATAACCCATCATTCACCTCACAATTTGTTGTCTAGGTTATGTTTGATAATTTCTAAACTAAAGTGTATAAAATCATCTAAGCAGGCTCAAAGCAAAGCACCTAAAAGGCTTTGTCATAATTTAGGGTTAATATAGGAACTTGCAATTGGACAAAGTATTAAATGAACTCCTCAACTGCAGTTGCAGCTAGTGGAGTCCGTGAACAACGACACCATCCTCACGTGTCTCGTAAGCGCGGGTCACTTCTTCCTGCAGCAGCCGCTTCACCCCACTTTCCCCTCGCTGCACGTGCTGCATCGCCTCATGGTCGACACCTACCAGAACCCGGACGTACCGACATTGCCGCGCCCGGTGAAAGGTACTGACCTTACATATCCGAATAACTCGCTTTACTCTCGCAACTCAACCTCGTTTTAACATTTCATTCCCAATATCACTCACTTTTAGCAACATTTTATAATATTTGCCAATTTAATTATCAATTTTTTTATAAATACACGATACTTTCTACGATATAATGCATGGTACCTGCGAATATGATTGCATAGAATTTTAACTAAAGTAGTTAATTAAATTAATTACTTCACCTATATAAGTATAAAAAAAATACTTTTTATGACTAAATATTTAAAGGCAAGAATTATTGTATTATGAATCATTATAATTTATTATTAATTAACAAGATGTGATCGCTAACTTTTTAAAATATTTCTTCTATCTTCCTGTACTCTAAACATATACAAAATGGATCTCTATTATAGGTTTGACCTATAAAATGTTATCTGCTGTTTGGTACATACTTTAATGAGATTGAGGTCAAGGCTATTTGAATTAGACAACATACTTTGGTCTTTGACACCAAAAGTTCAAAAATAGCTCTAAAGCTAAGCTAAATATTGACGATAGAATATAATTTATATTTTTAAATTGCTTATAAAAATCATATCAACCGTCATATAATATCTAATCGTTTAATTCAATGCATGACTAAAAGCATTAAAAAATAATTTAAAAAGTACAATAAAACGAATTATATGGTAGATACGTGAATGGTAAATTTTTTATTAAATATTATGAATAACACGCGCTTTTTTTTATAATGTACTTTATATTTGTTTAAGTCGGCCCCAAACTTGGCAAGATTTTGCGTAGTAGAGAAAATGTACAAAATTAATTGCTTGCCAATTTTATTTGCCGGGAATTGTGAATTAACCGGCGAATTCTTGTTACTAAGATAAAAAATATCCCGTCTTCGATTACGTAAAGTAATACCAAAATTCATATATTTAGTTATGCATCTAGGAAAATTGGTCTTGCTAAATATCTTCCATATATTGATAGTTGATATAGAATAATATTTTATGCCTGCAACTGTAACGTACAAGCTACGCTTTATGGAGTATCTACAAACAACTTACTTTTACTAGTTTGTAAGAGAAGTTGTGAAATGCAAGCTGATCGAAAACTACTTTCACATATCTCATGTACTGTTTAATCACTAGATTAAGACCTGGACCAACTTATTGATTTCTTTTGTCGTTTAATGAGTATTTAATGTTAATATAATGGAACCTTCTAATTTGTTAAAAAACCAATTAATAGTACTTCTTTCTCTGTTGATCACCACAGTTTTTGACATTTTGAACGTTCGTTGCGTTTCTTTTTCGATTTACTTTCGAACAACAAATGATGCATTAATTGCGAAATAAAATTTCCATACAAAAAATATTACAACACCTATACAATTTTACATATAGTTCCTTTATTTTGCTTCAATAAGTCTCGAATCTTCTCGAGACTATAATATACCATTATATTAAACGAAACTAGTGATACTTTCTTGACATATTTATATGAAATTCAAGTTCTAATTATACAATTTTATCCAGAGGGTTCAATTTGTGCGGCACCGACTGAAAACAACTGGTACCGCGCACAAGTCTTGTCGACGTCTGAAGAAACCGAGACGTCTGTGGTGAAGTTAGTCGATTACGGCGGTTACCTTACCGTCGATAACGACCAGCTGAAACAGATCCGCTCAGACTTCATGACGGTGCCTTTCCAGGCCACTGAGGCTCTCCTTGCGTTCGTCAAACCCGCGAATAATGGTAAGCTACGTTACATTGGCAGTTCAAAGATAATGTGTTATCTTTGAACTTTATTTAGTTCAACAAAATCTAGTGATATATAAACATTATTGATCGGAAAGCTTAAAGTTTATTATTAATTAGTAGTCATTTTTTTGCTTTGATAATTTTAGACTGACATTCTTTTTATAAAGGTCATTATTAGTATTCCTTTAGCTACACAATTAAACAAAATATATTCGCCAAAAAGGGAATACAGATTTAAACACAAAAATGTACAGTGATTAAATAAAAATGTAAAAGAGAACATTCAAGAGTTTTTTTTACTTTATTTTTTGGTATTTTTTTAGAGCCAGATTGGAGTAGCGAGGCACTCCGCATAATGGCGGGTCTGACGGCGGGACAGATGTTACACGCGCAGGTCGCTGGTTACGACGAGACTGGACTGCCCTTAGTACATCTTTACCTTACCCTCAACCCACAGGTAAGCTTATCCCTTACTTATAAACGTGCCTCAGTTAGTCATCGCTTTAAAATAGAATCTACCTAAAGAAATTCTTTTTTATAGTTCATACTTTTAGGATTGGTCCATGTAAACAAATCCTATATAGTCAAAATATCGCAAACTTCATAAAAATATACATTTATATTACTCCACATATATATATCAAATATATTTTATATATCAAGTGCATTCGAATCACAGCTGTACCAATGTATTTATCTATGTACGTGCGCACACTATCACTAGTACGGTGAAGAAAAACATGGTGTGAGGACACCATAACACTCTAGAATTTATCGCAACCGTATTTTCGCTGTTGTTTTAACGTTATGTGGTTTCAATAATAACCTTTTGATAACAGTAATTTTACTTTTCCTCTATTCTTTTTTGTTACTACGGATTCGGTACAATTGTGCTTCCAAGTAGGAGTGTATTATTGAGACATAATTATCAACAGATATTGAAAATATTATATTTTACCATATTATTAATAAAATCACTGTATTGTAGCTTAATGAATAACCTATTTATCAATCAAGTATGTATTTATCAATAACTTTTGAAGCAGTTCCACATGTACTGTTTATGGGTTTATATAGTCTTCTAATTAAAAGTGAAATTTAACCAATAAAAATCACATTTAAATTTGCTTTTGTATAGTTAAGAGATAAGAATTAGATAGAATGCGGAAGAGTCGATTCGTTCACGTACCGAATAAATGTTGGTGACGACGCATTATAAAGAAACACAAAGTCCAAAATTAAGTATTATTATTTTTATCATGAGCACCATTAAGTAACATTATATATTCAATGCGTTATATAATATATAATTGTGCAGTTTTAAACAGAATGAATGTTAGATTTCTAAACATCAATATATTTTTCATGGTAATAACACTTTGATACATTAAAACATTGTATGGAAACCGGCATGCCTTACAGCTAAATTTTATTGGAATCGGTGACTTATAAGTCTAAGTTCAGCATTAAAAAACTCATCTTGACATTTCAGCAAGTGATATACCTGAACCGTGAGCTGGTGGAGCGCGGGCTGGCAGAGTGGGAAGCGCCGGCCGATTCGTGAGCTTTCTTCGCATCTCTCGCCGTAGTATCATAAGACAAGTAGTTCTACTAGAAGAGCGATCGACCGTTTCGACGACGTTACTACTTCTCTTACCATACTATGCTCCCCTCGATGAGTCTAGTTCGCATCCGGCGCACGCGTCGCCCTGAGTTCCTCCTTCGGTAAGTATGGCGCCGTTTTCAAACATTAATCAAAATTAGTTCACTCAAATATTTCCATATCCTTATGAAACATCCGCATTTAATATTTTGAGTTCCCAATTTTAGTTAATGTTTCAATATTGCGCCGGTAGATTTAAAATTAACGTAATGCTCGGTGACGTCACACTGCTCGAACTGAGATACCGTATGTTAGTTTGTTTTGACTTGTTTTGTTACATTTAACTGTAATACCCCAGGATTACGTTATCCTAACTATTTTACTTACAAATAAGTATGTTATTCCGACCTTCAATATCTTACGGAAGAACTTTAATTTTAAACGATGACAAATTGTCTCCTAGTGTTAAGAAGTTATTCTGCGATTGTTTAGATTCATTGAAATATATCGGATCGTATTTAACGTATTTAGCGGCGTATAAATTAGTTGGTCAGGATGCTCATTATAATAATATGTGGTAGCACTGCCTTCTGCATTTGACTAAGCGAGAACCGTTGTTGCGTCACAGTATATGACATTGGCGATCATTGCCTTGAATCGTGCCTTTCAGTGTTAATTAGTTTCCGGTAATGTCTAGAGCTAACTTTGGTGTTCTAACCCATTACAAGTTAACCATGCAAGTTATATTTAGTTCATGATCGCGGTTATACTTTATCGCTGTGTGTGTGTTAAATTGGATGTGAGATAGATATATTTTTACACTCGTATGCTTTTTGTAAATTGTATAAATTGTAGAATACAAAGTTGATTAAAATAAGAGTACAATATAACGTTGTGTGGTTGCTTCGTGTGTTGATGAATTCTTGTACGTCGGCAGTATCGCTACTTTGATTTGTCAAACTTGATTCTCATAGCAGTTACAGCAAACTTGCATTTCAAGCACTCAAATACCTATCTTTGCTGACTTTTCTCTTTGGTTTCATATTAATATCTTAAAACTGCGATAGTCAAGGATTCGATAGTAATTAATAAATTTATAATGAGCATGTTGATGTCCTGACTTAGAATAAAAGTGTACATACTAGAAAATTTAAGTAGTTACTGTTTACGAAAGTTTGAAATTTGTGTTCTCTATATATTTCAGTATTTGATGTGTTTGGATATAGGTGTTTAGTGATTTATTTTTGAAACTGCAATTGCGTAGTTACTCGGTAACATCGTAGTGCGTCGGCTAATTCTTAAAACTTAATGTAGTGACTTGGTATAATGCAACTAAATAAATTGACCTCATTCACTTCTAAAATGTGACGTATTATAAAGACGTTGGAGTGAATCGGTTGATGTTACATAGCAGGCTATCGGTTTGCATTTTGTTGAAGTCCTTTTTTGTATATAAACTAATATATTTGCGGTTAAATCAATAAATTATCGTTTTAAAAATTATACTGTTGTTTTACTTCCCGAAAACCCTAACATAAGCACAACCATTTATTTTTCAATTTAACTACTGAATCAAATTTTAATTAGTATAAAGGTGACATATTCTTTGAAGAAGGTCGACTTTTTTCTATACAACTGCTAAAGACTAAACTGCATCAGTTAGTTCCAGTATCGTAGGGGATTCAGAGTCGAGACTTATATGAAAGTCTTGCCACTCCGGCTGAGTTCAGGGGGAGGAACTGTTAAAAAAATGCAAGAAAATAGCAAATGATACAAAGTCATGCCATGCCCAGGGATTTTGCTCTTAATCTCAGTTTTCAGAAAAGTCAGTAACTTTTTTTTCATGAGTTTAATAAACATTATTTATTTTATAAATAAATTAGCAGTATTTGAATACTTGTATTGCAAAAATTCCATAAAATGATAAGGTAGCTAAGACTCTTAAGATTCAATCAAAGTCTATCAATATGTGCTGCTTCAAGAAATGCTTTAGTTAGTTTTTGTTCCCGAATCCCAGCAGGTCACAAACACTTGTTTGTACGGTAAAGGAATCTGCGTGTCTTAAGCCTCACAGCCATAAGCCATTTTTTTTGCACAGAACGCTTACCAATGGTAAGCCTAATATTATCAATACAGCAGACTTCCAACTCATAAAGGAAGGACTAGTTCATATTTATTAAAGGAAATCAACAAGCTTAAAATGAATTGGTTTTTATTATCGTATTTATAAAAGTCAATATTACAACCTTTCTTATATACTACTGTTTCCCAGTCCACTTATCTAAATATCAATTATTCAACACACAACTTTAACAAACAATACAATTTTAACACTTCGTTCGGACTTCAATTTTAAATAAGGCCATTACTTTATCTTTTAATATAAAAATTTATTTATAAATTAGAACGCTATGTGACTTTAGTTTATTATTTTATTTAGTTCTTTGAACAGTTATTTTCTACTAAAAATTACGTTGTCAAAAAATATGGTAAGCACGTTTATTATAAAAATACGTAATTTCTTTTTTAAATAAGGAAGCGAATTGGTTAAATATCCAAAGGTCATCTATTGTATAAGATAAATCAAGGTCGTCATTTTAATCGTCAAATAAATGTAATTAATTGAATAAAACAACGCTTTGTAATATTTAATCATTAAAATAACGACCTGACAACTGTTTCCTAAGCTAGATTAGCTTTTAATATTTATCAATTGGAATCGCTGATAACGGAAAAATTTTTTTAAATAATCGCATGAAGATTGCAATAATAAATGTCGATTTCAAAGTTTATTTTTACAAAGTTATATGAATAACTTAGTCAAAATAGAATATAATCATAAATTAAAAAATAGTCACGATAACCCCACCGCATTAGCATCTCACTAACAACAGTTCGTCATTCACATTTGATTCAGGTTAATTGAGCTAAATTCTTTTTCCTTAACTCCACACGTCGGCGGAATATTTCTTCATGGACTCGAGTTTCTTGAGGAACTGCGTGGCCTCACTTTCCGAGCGGCCTCCCTTTTCGATGATGGCCTTCGTCACGATATTGCGCACGTCCACTGCCATGTTCTTTGCGTCACTGAAAATTATTTAATAAAAAAATTATGCATATTTATATTTGTTCAAATTAATATTTAAATGATCAAATTATGATTTTAAAATCTAAAAGAAATCGAATTGTTACTGTAAAACATTATGTTCTTCAAGATTTGTTGAAGTTTTTGTATATGAAAAAAATAAGTTTCTATCTATTTATTAATATGAAACAAAGATTATATTTATAATTAATACAAATGTATGTTATGGTTATAAAATTATTAAACTGTAACGAAATTTCGCGTAACAGCTGCGTCAGAGTTCATATAAATAAATGTGATTAAACGCATTTTAATCACGTTAAAAGTATTCTTAATTGTGTGATACACGTGTTATTTAATAATGTTATTCGATGTACTTTGCAAAGACAAACTTTGCATGTTTGATGCGGATGTGGTGATGCTACGTGTCAATTAATGTGATTATTATGATTGCTCAAATTCCATAATAATCAACATGATTTGGCAAATTCAAGTTACTCATTTAAATGTACGTATAGCGATTAGGAATAAATTATTGCGTAAAATTTAAATAATCAATTTCCAACTACAAAGAAATGTTTTGTACGACCGATCAGCCTGCGTTCGAGTGATCAATATAACAGAAATAGATAGAAACGAAGAAAACTTAAATTTTTGCTTCTCTTTAGTGTTTATATAATCTAAGTTTCAGAGATATGATTTAGCATAAACTATGCTAAATGACTTCTAGAGGTCAAAATCAAATCCTCGTTTTTAAATAAGTAAAAGTTAAAACGCGAACTATTATTAAATGTCATGGGCAAAGTTCATGGGATTTTTAAAGACAGGGAAATTAAACGGCTTTTAGATAGAATTGTTTAAAATCTTGATATGGTAGCTAAGTTATTACACATTAATTACCATAAACATATAAATTTAGATATTTACTTTAAGGTTGCGATGTTTCTAAGATAATCAATCAGCTATAGCCTAAACTAAGTTAGGACGTGGCGTGAACACAAAAAATCAATGGGTTGAAATATCTATTTTCAGAACACTATTATTAGACTTACCCGCAAATATAGAAGTGTCCATTTCGTTTCCCGATGACGTCCCAAATTTGATCTAAATTGTTCTCCAACAAATGTGTTACGTAAACTTTCTTGTCTTGATCCCGAGAGAACGCTACGTGAAGGGTCACGTCCCCATTTTTCTCATACTCTTCCAATTCCTGTAATCAATTATTAATTTCAAACGCATTACAATAAAATTAATCGGTAATGTAAATTAAAACATGATATTCAAATTTTTCCTTTTTAATGCACTCATTAATATGGATAAACAGTGGTGAATTAGTATAAAATTATACAAAGTTTAATAAAAACTTAACGAATTACTACAAGTATTAATACCAGAATTGCCTTCAGGGTTACTCTTAACTTGTTTTCTAATGATTGCTTGTACAGTTCTTTTAATGTGCTGGCCCGAAATAAATCACTAAACTAATGCTAAATATTATTACCTCTCTATAGATGTAGTCTTGGTCACGATTCCGACAACCGAAGTAAAGTATGGTGTTTCCAACTTCTTTGCCATTTTGACGGGCGATGGCGCGTTCTTGAAGGAATCCACGGAATGGTGCCAAACCAGTACCAGGACCGACCATCAAAATTGGTGTCTGTGTTTGTAGCGGTAGTCTATAAAAAATAATATACTACATTTATCTAAGACGGATGACAATTTGAATGAAATCTAAGATGTTATAGTTATAGGGATGAGAGCAGGCTCCAGATATCGTAGAATTGTGGAAATTAATTAATTAAATAAGAGCCACCATATACACACACAAACATACCTATTACAAATAATACTCGTATTTGTGAACAATCTTTTCATAAAACACCCAGAATGTGTAACAATTATGGTGAACACAAGAAAGATCATACAATAAAATAGAACATAAATATTTTTTTTACTTTAAAACTGCGTTCTATATACATATATATTACAGATGGATTTCTCTATAATTATTCTAAACGTTCGTGAATTGTATTTATCGCTAAATAGTGATTTTAAATACACTTATACGCAAAATCATTTTTACCTTTAATGGCCATTTTACCGCAACAATTATTTATTTTGAATTCCCATAATTACACGCTACATAAATTTAAGTCGAGGAAAGGCCAAACCTGAAATCCATTTGAGAAACGTGAAAACCATTTTTAGTGCGTCATAATACTGGGACATGAGTGGAATAACTGTTAATGTTACTATTGTTAGGCGCGTGTGGGCCAATTGCTTCTATTTAAGGCAGATGTTATTATAGGCCTAGAAGGTCGTCTACAAGGTGATATACGACATTACAATATTGAATGTAGAAGAGCTTGTTACTACCAATTGAAACTCTTTTCGCGTCAAATGGTTAGGGAGGAAATATGAGCTGTATAATGTTGTTACTGAATTAAGCCAAGTACAAGACAGCTAGTACATATTATGTAATTTCGAACTACATAAAGAGGCCCCTAAGCCAAATAATCACTGCAATCAAGATGGATCCGATATAACAACCGTCAAAACATGACTGTAACTTTTAATAGTGCATCGTAAAATACACTTTAGTTCAACGCAGTAAAGACACTGTTTCAATTCACGAGAATTCGAAGTAATAAATAGTCTTGTTAAAGTGATCATTTAAGTATTGGCTTGTGTTGTCAAAATTATAAAGATATCAGAATATACTTATATGTAAATATATAAAATGCGAAACAACAATAATTTTACTATCATATTAAATTATCTACAACCTCGCACTTATATATTATATTAATGGAATAAATTTAAGAACAGCTATGCTATGCTGAATTTACAGCTATGGTTATTAGGGCATGGTATGCATGATGAATATGCGGACAGTAACCTAAAAAAGAAATACAACTATAGACAAAGAACCTTTATATGCATAACTGTGTACACAAGACTATAATTATATAATCGTAATGTTATATTATTATGATAGGTTTATCGTTCAATGTCATACCTACAAAAACAATTATCAGTGTCTTGTGATTGTCAACTGTCGTTCGTTCGTTGTTACCATGCAATATGAAGAAAAGAGAAACATGTGACGACTACTCAAAGATACATAATATACAAAATCTCATACGCGAACTATAGAGGCCTCTAGGCTCACGTCTCCACTTAGATTTAATAAACTCGATTGCGGAGTTGGCTGATGATGATGTAATAGTCTGACGTACAGCTATGCAATATTAATGTTGGGTCAAAGCGGTTGCAAATACAATGGAAACTTTTAGTTAAAATTTGGACGAAAGTTACACTTCACGAACTCACCGTCATAGATATGGCAGAATGTGGCCACAGCAAACTAAAGATGGCCTAAGATAGGATTTAATTTAAAAACAACTTGTATTACTAGCCTAATTTAAGTGATTTTCTACTTCTACTATAGTGATAATTGATAAATAAAAAAATACAGTACGGATAATTAAGTATTTCAGTTTTTGTATCGGCGCAAACGACGCCATATTGTCATGACACGTATTATCTTAATTACTTTATTTATATCTGCTTAATTACCATCGAGCAAGGTTATTCAACTTATTACTGAGTACACGCAAGAAGAAACATTTACGGATATTTGTGAATAAATAAAACATAATAAAATAAAGGCTTGCGAAATAATTCGTTCAGGACGTCAAATCTTGAAACAGATTTAAAAAAAATTTAAATGAATATTCAATAGGAATTTCGAGATTTGGTCAAGTATAATTTGAACGACTCCGGCAAAAATAATACGTATCTAGTGAATTCGTACTTTTTTATAGAATATAATTGTCGACCTTGAGTCTTCGGGGAAATACCATGTTTAACTAATAACATTTTCAACCAGTTATCGTAAGTATAATTTAAGTTGAAATTTTAAACAATTTAAATAAAAGTGTCCTTATAACATTGAATCTAAAAATTAATTTGTTGTTACAGCTATCTTAATTACAGATTAAGAAAGTATTTTATCATTTGTGTGTGTATCAAATTAATGGTATACGCTTTAAAGTATCCCTGTATAGGATAGGAGTAAATTCAGTATGATTTTTTTTTAATATCTTACCGGAATTGAGACTTTCTGATGAATACTGGAACTCTTGGCAATGGTTCTCCAGACAGGGGCTTGTGTTCTGCCAACCAAGTGGTGGCCACACCCTTATTGACCCGACCCGTTGCCGTTTTATATTGCACCACTACAGCTGTTATGTGCACTGTCTCTGGGTGCAGCTGTAAATAACACAATCTATTTTAAAAGGTACATTTATAAATTCTCATTAAGAATTAGTTTGTAACAAAACTGTAAGAAATAAGGATTTTAAAATGTATTGATTTACATTTAGTCAAATATAAAGCAAAAAGTTAAAAAAAATGACTAAACAACAATACTTACTTTTGGGCTTGAGGAGATAGAATAATATCTTGGTTGTAGTCGAGGTAACAATTCACAAATGTGGTCAAGCGGTGGTCTACATGATTTAATATCCTCCAAAATATGCACAATATGTCTGCATGCATCTGCTACAAATGACTGGTATAATGCTTTACCCTCTTGAGAGTTAGTCGCCATAAGGAGTAGTTTTTTCTTGTCCTAAAGAGGTGAAATTATTAATATAAATTTTTTTTAGATAGCTTACCTCACATGTTATTATAATACATACACGAACTTTAGAAATAAAATAAATTTTTTTTTAAATCATCATTCGTGAATAAACTTAAAGGTTAAGGTAAGAGAACAATGTTACTTATTAAGACTGTAAATGTAATAAAATCAAAATCATATAATTAATGGTGTTTTACCTCTTCATCTGTACAATATTCCACAAGTTCTCTGAGAATGTGTGTTCGAGGTAGAGCCGTTATCTCTATGTAGTGTGAAAGTGCTGTACGGTATGAAGTAGGACAAGGGAATGGATGTTTTTTAGAACTCTCTTGATCTGTATTGACCAAGGAAAACACATCATCTAAATTGGCACCAGTTAATTCTCCCAGCCTATTGACTAGGTTTACATCATTTGTAGGGTACACTGCCACATGATCACCTGATAAAACAAATTACCTTTTGACATTAATTAAATCAGAAATGTTCTCCATTCTTACATTCAATATGTATAAATAAAAACGAAATTTTAATTATTAAGAAAGATGAATAATATATTTATTTACTATAAAGGTATATTTAGGTAAATTATAAAGAGAATATTTAAAAAAATAAATATACTAAATTTAGAAATTGCTAATATTTTGTATTTTTTCCATGTGCCATTTAGATTATTCCAAGTTTTTTTATAATGATGGGAGATAAATATAATAATTTTATTCTATTCAGTAGGGTTATACTTATTACATTATTATTACTAGTTATAAAATGTAGAAAATAATAATATACGTACCAGCTTCATACCTCATCTTTGAATCTGATATATCTAACTCAACATGAAGACATGATCTATCTCCACCTTTATGTAATTCCCTATTAACTTTGATCTGAGCCAAGAATGGATTCTTAGCATCAAACGGTCTGAAAATGATGTGTCAAAAATGATTTTTTTATAACTTATTGTAATGTTTATATTAATAACATATTATAATATTTTATTTATACTGATTTAATTTGATTTATTGAAAAAAATTAAATAAAATAATTAAAATATAAACAGTGTTTGATTATATCATTAATACTTTTATTAAACTATTATAATAATAGTATTAATGTCTAAATCTATATTTACAGATGCACCATTTGCCTTTCTATGTGTATAATTAAAAGAGATAAAGTAAACATCAACACAGATGTTCTATATTTCTTTATTATACAAATACACATCTAAATGTCTGGTACAACATATCAAAACACGGTGAACATTTTCTATGTGAACAAGGATGAACTACATGAAGCATTATACTTATCACATTGTGAATAAAAGTAAAAAATCTTCACAGCCTGTATTACACAATAAATATATCTAAAAAAATTAAATAGATTTATTTATTAATATACTTACGGCCTTTGCACTTCCAATGAATGCAATCTGGACATTTCTCCCTTAAAGACATCATTTGGTGAAATATCTCCAGATGAATGAGAGACCAAACTAAATTGTCTTGTTAACTCTTCTTCCCCCGGTACTCTCAATATTGAACTTCTCACATACAGAAGGCCAGAACTTGTCTTTCCATGTAATAAAATCATCTTCAATGCTAAAAAAATATTCAACATTACTATTTCTGGACATCAAAGCTAACAAAGCAACATCAACTTAGCAAATTTTTTTTCCAGATATATTTGTAAAGACTAAGTCAGTTTATATTAATTCAAAGCATTTTCTTTTACTATTACTTCATATATATTGATCAATCATGGTATAAATATTCTAAATGAAAAGATTGAAAAATTTTCTCAAAATCTATAAGAATACACCATGCAATTGAACAATTAACATTTAAAATGAAATGAAAACTATTAACTTACTTTGCGTCATCATCACCCATTCCCAATTCATATACTCGTGTTGCTCCAAGTTCTTCAAGGCGCTTGTCCAAATAGATAGCAACTGCATTGTAGTGTTCATATGTTTTGTTTCCAAGGCCAAACACCTAAAATATAAAAATAATAAAACTACATTCTTTAAGGTAATATTAAACAAATTTTGTTAACATTAAATCAATTACCAATTATTATGGACTTCATACCATGTGCTTTAGTTTCGGGATTAGACGTTTTCTATTGACTTGTATATTATTTAAAATGTACCAAGGTATTCTAAGATTATGTTTGCAGGTGTTTGCACATAAGGCTAACATTTTAAAAACTCAAGAGGAAATTAGATTTTTCCTGTTATGTTTAAAAAAAACCCTTGCTATTGTTAAGTTAATTGAGAAAACAATTCAAATTCAAACAGTCGCGTTTCACGTTTTTAATTGATATTTGGCTTAACAAATTATCAATATTAATTTCGTTATTTGCGTAAAGACTAAAGATGACAGATTTACTCATTGTACAGCAACTAAATAACTAATGACACTTGACTTGACTATTAACAACTAACAAGCACTGACTACCTTCGAAAACAGATTGACAACTGACAATGTATGGCAGACGTGAACGAACGAATGAACTAAAGTGAAGTTATGACGGTCAGTGGTAAAATTTCCATACGAAACATTATATGAAGTTATTTCTTTTTTCGATTTTATGTTTTTGTAATTTATGTCATAATAATCTGTTAACACGATTTTTTACCAACATAAAAAATCTATATGTAGTTTTTAACAACCAACACATTTCCATAATATCACGAACATATTTATATTATGTTACTTTTACTTTGCTTCGACGTACTGGTGTCTGGACTGGTGTGACTGATTTAAATAAATGTTTAAATGAAGTTCGTAATGTTATCTAAACAACAGACTTGCGTAATAACATTATATCAGTAATTATATAGATGTCTATTTACTTGAAATCTACAATCGTTGAAAACTACGTCGGAAAACTAGTTATGCTACTTGGCTATTTTATGTCAATATAATATAAATTACGTAATGATTTACGTTCTTATATGTTTAAATATGCAAATTGTACCAGGGAATCAGGCGGGTCGCGGCTGGCGTACGTGATCACAACATATTTATTATAAATGTAAGGCGAACGTAATAATATGAGTGTAGTTTTTTAAAATATCTAAGTGGAACATTGACGCTCTTATAAAACACACATTGGAATTATAATTCGAAATTCGTGACTATATTAAATATTTATCGACACATTTGAATATTTTAACCTAAATACTTACAGCATAATTTACTCCAGTTAAATCTGGATCTCCATTCTTTAGCCATTCAAAAAACTCCATGGCGTTGTCCGTGGGATCTCCTTCACCATACGTTGCCATACAGAACACAGCTAAAGAATTCTTTATATCTTTTAGCTTTGCAAGTTCTTCCTGGAGATTACAATAATACATTTATATATATATTACATTTATTGTGGTTTCATTATAATTATTGCTGTAACTAAAAATAGATACAAACCATATCGCATTCTTCTGGATCGGCAACCATTCCTTTCAGTTTGTACCTTATTCCTTCTTTGGCCAGTCTACCCGCAAATTCTTCACCAGTACCAGTCTGTGACCCGTAAAATACAACTAGACTTCTCCCAGAGGACTGAAGCTTGGTAATAAATGAATTTTCTGTTACTTCTATTGTTGCTGCAGGTCTATAAAAATTTAAACAAAAAATCTATATTATCAATACTTTTATATGGTTTGTCTATTGTAATATTTACGAAATTGTTATCGTTAATTTATGAAGTACACGTGTAATCTAAGCAACATTGTAATATAACGTGTTTCTAGGTATTTTTACTGACACATCCTATTTCTTTTCATTAATGCACCTTGAATATATTAGTAGCCATGATCCAAATTTGCTCTACGTAAAACAGGAACCGTTACGTTACATGCATAGATATTTTAACAATAGAATTATTTATACTTTTAAATATTATCTCTATCTGTTACCGATGAATAATTTATATATCGATACTGAGAGCGTAGAATATCAACACTTTCGAAATAGGTTAGATTCATTTTTAAACAAAGAATTTTTTAAGTAATTTCCAACCAGTACTTATGTTGTAATTATATTTATAACTGTCAGCGTTTCTTTATTAATTATTATTGCATGTAAAAATATTGTACATATTATGGACAACAACTAATATGAATTAAGTAACCCAACAACATAAGGCTTTTAGACTTGAATCTTTTCATGTAAGTGTTTAATATGATGTGTTATACTTTTGTTTTCAGATACGTTTTCTATGTACACAAACGCCAGTTTAAAACTTAATACAAACGCAACACCTTTTTGTAAATTTAACATTACATATAATTATTCTATTGTTATTTAATTTTTTTATTTTACGATTAAATTCAAAGGTTCTTTGATAGTATAGAAGGTATTTATTCGTTGCCAATCGTCTAGAATTCATATATTTTCAACATAAACTTTAATTTAAATAAGTCAGTTTAAATCCTTGAATTGATAACATAAAATAATAACTAGAATTAAAAATCAAGCCCATCACTGATTGTTCTCTTACAAGGCAGTACAAATAAATTAAAAAAATATTAAACAAAAGCTTTATATTCTAATTAAGTAGCGATTGAAGTAACTCCTCTCAATTAATCCATATTATATAGGGATATACTCGTATTATCAGTTGTGATAATAATGGCACTCGCATAAAATAAATGACAACCATTCATGGGCTGCTGTAAAATAAAAACGTATTGTCTTTGATTATATAAACACTTATGAAAACATTTTTATCATTATTGTGTGATTGGCATGGATTTAAAATATTCCATTACAAACGCCCGAGAAACTAACCAAACGCGATTGTGGCCTTGTTCGAGTGAACTACCTACATCTACCTCGTTTGACTGCTGTTTATGACGTATTTAGTAGGTATTTCCTTATGTTTACCTTCCGCAACCGAAGATTGTTCAAGAGGAAATTTATAAATCCCAATGGAGTTTAAGTTATTTAGATTTTTTATAAATCAGAATGCAATTGGGCATGAGGCTCATCATCATTTCTTTATTGACGTCAATAAGTGTTACCTAAATGAATAAATGATTTTGAAACTGATATTAAGCGATACCACTGCCCATGGACACTCTCAATGCCATGAGTGGCCTTACAAAAAATGCCTTAAAACGCGAATGGTGGAGTTTAATATTCTGCCTCGACGTCGGATGATGAAACTCAGCTGGAGGTATTGATCCGAATAACTCCTCTAAATAATCTCTATAAAAAAAAACCAAGAGACCCAACATCTCTACGCAATGCCAAAGGATCATGCGGCAAGAAAGTGACTGGTCCTTAAAGAGCTGGTAGGTACTGGGGAGCTCCCCCGCTCCCCCTGGAGAGCTGCCTGAGAAATACCTGCACGACCAGTGCTATTATCCTCATAGCAATGAACGTTGCTAAGTTGCAAGATGTCAGAAGAAAAAGGTCCTAAATGTTCCAATCGGCCAGAAAGCTGGAGATCCGGTGGCATAATTTCTTTCCCTCTTACTTCTGCTAGAAGCTTCTCTCGAAGCTAGGGGCCTATATATATAAAATATTAACAGTCTCTAGTCAGGAGCTGGCTCTCTGGATACCCTAGAATCTGGCCGTCGATAATGGTTTCCATTATTATGTATTATTTTATTTTGAATAACTAGGACATTATGGCTATTGATCGATACTTGGTCGGATCGTGTATTGAAGCGATCGTCCAGCACTTTAAAAGACTTATGAAGGTCTAGGGAAGATGTGCGGACACCTTGTTGCCGAAATATGATTTCCGTAAGCATCCTCCCTGCGCAGAGGTACAACAGAGGGCTGACAGAAATTCCCTTGGACAGCTTTGGCGTGAGATCAGAAGGCTCAAGTCCCTGAAAGGAGGCTGGCCAATCTCGCGACAAATCTGGCAATGTGCTCAGATTTCGCCCAAGCAAACTCCTGTTTGAAGGACCTGGAGGCGGAGTTATATGCTTTTGCATACGCCAGTATTCGGATCACGAGATGTCGCCGCTTCCGCCCACGCGTTAAAGAATTGACGCAAGGGAAGAACGTTTAAACCAATGAATGTGACTTGCCCTCCCAATCTATAGTGGCAACGGCCCGCAAATCGGGAGGGCGCGTAGTAGGCATAACGTAGGAACCAAAAGTAAGGTCGACGGAGTCTTAATAGTTATCCGGATGTGAGATCAGCACAAGGTTCCAACAAAGATGGTTTGTAACCATCTGTGATCATGTGACTTCTGATATTCGCGTAATTGCGGGACCATTTGTGTCAAGTCTTATGACTAGACAAAGTCATGAAAGGACCTACCCGCGTGGTCGGTGCTTTCAGAGCCGAGCCAGTCGATATTTATCTGTAGCCATTTGGATGTGCTCAATGAGTCGGTCAATTTCGGCATTTCCGCTCCGGGAGTCTCTCAGTGGGGTCTCGGCAGAATCTAAATCCAAATCGTCTACCTTATTTTATGCGTTTTGTGATTTGTATTTTGTATCTGGATAGTTTTGACTATCTTAGAATCCATAGAACGGGAGATTTTATTATAAAGTTGACAGAACGTTTTGTCCGGTCCGTAAATTAAAAAGTGCCTGTTTTTTTTAGTATGCAAAGTGCATCTAAATTTCTTCTAAATATGTACCATATTTTTCTTTTTGTTTAGAGTCAAAAAAGGTAGGTATTATTATATTAAATTACATATTATAATTTGAACCCATTGAATTCCCCTATTTTCCGCGAAATATTATATTTTCCTGAAACGTGACGCAATAGAGGATTAATTTCGTCAATCTGTATCTACAGTATAGGGAAATCAATGTTACAAGTAATACGTATATGGTTTTACCATTTAACCATTTACGTCTTATATTAAATTACTTACGTAGAGCCTAAATTACAAATAAACTTCGAATTTGTGAACTGTTTTAATTTTGGATCTTAATAGTGGATTTCAGACCTCAGCTCCGGACGGATTCGGATTCAGCGGCTAAATCTCTGAAGTATTGGCTTCAGACAGGCACTGTCAGTTGATCTCATTAGAAAAAACTTTTTTTTTTTGTACTAATTGGTAATTGATACATATTTTAAATATACCTACATAAATCGTGTAGTGTCAGTATTGCGAATATTTTATAAATATAATTTTATATTTTTTTCATTTTTTTTTATCCTGATTTTGGGATAGAAACTGTCTTTCAACATCTGTGGGGCTTTCATAGTCATTTTTATGACTTCAACGCGAATATCTAGTCAAGAGCTACATTATATTGTATAAGTATATTTTACGAAGTACATACTACACTTGTATCTTGGCCGTTAAGAATGTCGATGTTAAAAGTGAATGACTATATAACACGTTCCCTTTATACTTCATATTGTGCTTACGGTATGGTAATAAGAGATAAATCAGTGCTTTAGTTACAACAGTGTATATAATTCTGACAAAGATTTAAACTGATTCAAGTTTTTATGAATTCGTATTAATAACACAACAACTTCAACTTGAAAAGTGCCTGTTTTTTTTAGTATGCAAAGTGCATCTAAATTTCTTCTAAATATGTACCATATTTTTCTTTTTGTTTAGAGTCAAAAAAGGTAGGTATTATTATATTAAATTACATATTATAATTTGAACCCATTGAATTCCCCTATTTTCCGCGAAATATTATATTTTCCTGAAACGTGACGCAATAGAGGATTAATTTCGTCAATCTGTATCTACAGTATAGGGAAATCAATGTTACAAGTAATACGTATATGGTTTTACCATTTAACCATTTACGTCTTATATTAAATTACTTACGTAGAGCCTAAATTACAAATAAACTTCGAATTTGTGAACTGTTTTAATTTTGGATCTTAATAGTGGATTTCAGACCTCAGCTCCGGACGGATTCGGATTCAGCGGCTAAATCTCTGAAGTATTGGCTTCAGACAGGCACTGTCAGTTGATCTCATTAGAAAAAACTTTTTTTTTTTTGTACTAATTGGTAATTGATACATATTTTAAATATACCTACATAAATCGTGTAGTGTCAGTATTGCGAATATTTTATAAATATAATTTTATATTTTTTTCATTTTTTTTTATTCTGATTTTGGGATAGAAACTGTCTTTCAACATCTGTGGGGCTTTCATAGTCATTTTTATCCTTTTTATGACTTCAACGCGAATATCTAGTCAAGAGCTACATTATATTGTATAAGTATATTTTACGAAGTACTACACTTGTATCTTGGCCGTTAAGAATGTCGATGTTAAAAGTGAATGACTATATAACACGTTCCCTTTATACTGCATATTGTGCTTACGGTATGGTAATAAGAGATAAATCAGTGCTTTAGTTACAACAGTGTATATAATTCTGACAAAGATTTAAACTGATTCAAGTTTTTATGAATTCGTATTAATAACACAACAACTTCATTGGATATTCATAGAAGTATCATATCTCGCTTATATTACTAAAAATCTGAATAAAACCTACATAGATGGCACGTTTAAATCCATACCTACTCACTTCAACGACGATAAAGGTCATTGACTTCTTGAACTTGTAACGCTTTAGCGTCTGTCGATGGTAAAGTAAATCATTAGTCATAATTATTTCTTAATTGTAAATGTAGTTATTTACCTATTGTAAATCATGATCAGTTCAAGTATAGGTTACTAATGTGATGGTAGATATAGACCATTGTTTACAAAGTGCACATACCTATGTCATTTATTTGTTGGTAATAATTATCGTAGATGTGTGTAAGTAACACATCTACGGTATGTTGAGTTTGTGTTTCAAGTTTCACATGTGGTAGTAAATTTTAAATTGTATTGTAAAAATTAAATATAACAAAAGTGTGACTACCTGTACTTTTAAAGGCAATTAATTACTCAGCCAAGTGTCGTTCTTAAGTACTTCGTTATCATTGAATTATTGATATTATTTTATAGTTGTTACCATTAGCATATACTTCGTTACACGTCCTCTATTTCTATTGGAAGAGAAAAAAACGTGTAACTTGATTTCTCAGGCGTGCAAACTTGCTTCAATTGCGTAATCACAAAACATATTGTATCATTTCTATGATAATATAGTAAACAGTCCGACCCTATTTAAGTACTTAGGTATATTATTAAATATAACTACGTACAGAAAATGCAGTTTTCGAAAACTAGATAAATTAAATAAGTAATATAGTAAAATGTTGTGTTTAAAATGTTTTTGAAGATACTTACTGAATTGAATATTTGCTTAGTAACAAGTCGTCCTTCTTATTGTCTTTTCTAGAACTATAGAGCCACCAAACTGCCGCCCCAAATAAAACGACGAGCATTATTATGTCGAATGTGCTAAATAGCGATCCACTCACTGCAGCGGCGGCCGCGGCTTCTTTTATTAAAATATCCTGTGTGTTCTCCGACATTTTTAAAAAGTTTGTTAGAGTTTGTATAAATTTAATTTCACTTGTTAGCACACAAGGTCACCCGTTGACGTTAACTTAACACGAAACAAGTACGCGATGTTGTTACCTAGTAGGTACTATATCATATTCACGACTTTTCGGTTCCATCAACTATAAATAACTGGCGAATAAAGTGTCGTGTTTCGTCCCCAACTCCTATTTGCACCACTGGTCACCGTCCGACGTCGTGTTTTTCGTGATATCAGTAACCACTGTGCATCTGATGTTGGTGACGTAGTGGAGATTGTACAACCGACAACGCGACTTGCGAGCGACACGGCAGAATGTAAAACGCGAACTGACTGATCACCAGTGTGACCAGATTTCATTTGACGAATCTACTGCTCGTGGAGGTTAAAAACTACTGAATTCTACCGAAAGGAACGAGAAAATACAAAAAATCTATTATATTTTTTTGCTGTTGGTTTACAACGTAAAACATGAATTTTCTTGATTAAACGATAAAATAATAAAAGTAGTAAAGATTAATTAAAGAAGCGAAGTTTTTTTTAATTTAATTCTTACTACAATTTTTTTTTTAAATTAATAATAATAAAATGAAACTTAAAGCTAAGATTTTTCGTCGTTATGTTGGATATTGTCATAAAGCTGTTTTGAGTCCATTAGCTTGATCATACTTTTGTCAGGATCAAATCTGCTACATCCTCCTTCCAACTGTCGTAGCCCCTCTTTTCCATGCATAATTGCAGCAACATTCTTGTTATTAAAACGATTTCTATCTTGACTTTTAATTCTATTAATATCGGAAAATATTCTTTCAACTTTGGCGTTAGACAGAGGTAGTATTGTCATTTGCTTCACAAACCGGGCCAAATTGCCATATTTTGGTTTGCTATTCGCATCGCAAATTTGGCTGACCTCACTCCAAAATTTATCCACCATAAAATTTTCAGAAGTTGAACTCGAAGTTGACAATAAATTAGACACGGAAACATCTAATTTTAATTCCCTATATTCGTTGTCAACAATTTGCATATTTTCTGTTGTAACTAAGTTAGGAAACCTTTGTAGTATTTTTTATTAGAGTTCGAAATTCACCATACACTGCCTTTTGGGGATCGATAAACGACAAATCCTGCAAGAAATTATCTTGTACAGGCAGTCTTTGGAGAAATTGTTTACTTAGCTCGATCAAAAATGCTTGACATCTGTTAAGAAACTCTTCAATTTTAGATTTCATTCGAACATCATCTTTTAATAATTCCAATGTTATGGCTACGTTTGTGCCCAGGTACATGTTTTGTATAGGAAGGAAATGCATACTTGAACTGGGATCTATTGACTGAAGCGAAGTAGTTTTAATATAATTTATCTTCATAAAACAACTCAAAATGGAACTCATCATGTTTTGTATATCTGTGTCAATTTTATGAATGAGCGTCTGATCACTTTGAAAAATAACGTTAAATTTTGTAGTTATGGGTAATATAAAATCTAAAAAGGAAAGATAAAGTTTTGTTTCATCGCTGTTAAGGTGATCAAATATAAATTGACAAGTAGCATTTGCATTCTTATTTCCTAAAAACTCATTTTGAAAAAAAGTTTTAATGCTGACCACTGCTCTATAATTCGGTGAATGCATTGATGTAGAGAAAGCCACCTGATATCATAGTGACGAAGCATATGGTGAGTTGGAGTGTCAGTAAAATTTTGAAATTCGACAAACTCTCTTTGACGTTGGCTACTGTGAGAGAAGTATGAATAAACATCTTTGACAAACAACTCTATAGAACGAGGTAATTTTTTGCATGCATAACTTACTGAAAGATTTGTTGAGTGGCAAATACATTTAAAAAAAATACAGTTTGGGTTGACTTCCCTAATTTTAGATACCACGCTATTCCTTTCGCCAAACATAACATTCGTTGTATCAGCAGCGAACCCTATTAAATTTTCTATGTTAAGGTTTCTTTCAGATAAGGCACATGTTAAACTATCAAACAAATACTGCGCAGTTTCACCTTTTAAGTCCACCATACACAAAAATTTTGTTTGTGGAGATTGCAATTTTTCTGAGTAGTACTTTATTGCTGCTGCAAGTACCTTGGTAGTACTGACATCTGTGCTTTCGTCGATAATGAGCGAAAATACTGGGCTTCTCTCAGTTTCATTTTCCAGCCTTGGACGTAATTCTGCAAGCATTTTTTCTTCGAAGTTATTGCCTAAGACGTTGTAAGCAATTGCGGCAGATTTAGTTCTTCTACAGGAAAAACGTTTTGCGATTTCAGAGTCGTGAAATGCCCTTGAAATAACTTCGCTTACGTGATCCATTACGCGAAAAGGAATATTATGTTCCACTAATGCAGCTACAATGCTGATTTCTGCTTTTTTTACTTCTTCCGAAATAGTTGATGTTTTAAAAATCGTATCAATCTGTAAACAAAAAAGTTAAAAATAAGTATGCAGGACAAAAAAAAAAGTCAAAAACTAAGCAATCTTAATATATATAAATCTCGTATCACAATGTTTGTCCTCAATGGACTCCTAAACTACCGAACCGATATCAATCAAATTTGCACACCGTGTGTAGTTTGATCCAAATTAAAAGGTAGTTTAAATCTCAAATTATAGTCGCAATATTATTTTATTGCAAAATATTTGTTTATTATTTGATACAATTCTAACAGATGGCGCTGTGTTATAAGTATCAACGTTTCACATAAGCTTTCATCTACCTTTAAGATAAGTTCTCCTACCCCTAACAGATGGCGCTGTGTTAAAAGTATCAACGTTTCACATAAGCTACCTTTCACATACGTTCTCCTACCGTTTCCCTTGAATAGTTTACTACTATGTAATATAACAAAAACCTTAGCCACAGCAACGCTTGGCCGAGTCTGCTAGTTTTAATATATCATTTAAATAAATAAACATGCATAAACACACATAGTTGTATAATAATAATTGTTATGTAAATGTGTAGATAATAAACATACTTAAAACAGCGAAAGTTTGTTTTTGAATGGAAATCATAAGGTTTAGAACATAATACGGGTTCACGATGAAAGTATTAAATTTTTTTTAACAAAAATAATTAACTAAGACTTACATTCCACATATCAATGTAAGTACCTTACGTACCTTAGAAATGCCGGAATATCCTTTCATGTTTTTTATATGCTTTGATGTAGCCATATGTTCCTTTAAAGATGCCACTCTACTTAGTACTTCACAGTTGCATGCTTTACAATGAGCACTCGTAGTGTTTACTCTAGATTTAGACAACCAACTTTTAAATGAGGGATCTTGCTCCCATTCATCGCGATATATTTGTGTATATTTACGTTTCATTATATACTCGATTATATAAATTCTCAGTAAAGGTATTCCCACTAATCACAATATGCTCACGAGTCACGGAACGAATGGTTTATAGTAACGAAAATAACGAAAATTCAATAGAACTTACCACCCAATCGATGAAAGGGGAATACCCCGCATTTATTCGATGTGCCAAAAAAGTACCTACTAGAATAACTGATAAACGTGAATTCTACTAAAATATACCAAATAATTTTTACATACTAAATTCTGTTGCCAGTACCTCAAAATCTACCAAAAAAGTAGAAATCTACTAAATCTGGTCACACTGACTGATCACTGAAGTCTGCGAACTGCGAAGTGCGAAGTACGAACTGCGAATAGCCGAATGGTTAAATATGAATGAAGACCGACGAACGTTGAATGATAAATATGCTAAAAATCTCTACAAAATAAATAACTGTCAATCGTAGCAGCTGCCTGTCTTATGATTATAATAAAATGTGGCTGTTTTGCACAATGTATATCTTACTTTTCCCTAAGTACTGATTCTAATAATAACAACGTATTATGAACCTAGAAGCATTTGAATGGGAATAACGGCGAACGCGAATTTCTCGTGTAAATGATAAAATACAGTACGAAAGTCATTGCTACTATAACTTACTATTATTATAAACTAAATGTATTTTATTAGTTTATTAACAGGAGCTGTATTAAAACATTAGGAAAATAACAACTACGCTACTATTTACCTACATTTTAACTACATATCTTTCTTTATATATTTTTTATTTACAAATAATGTTATGTCGGCATAAAACGTGTAGGTAAATTAAGTGAGATTAAGATCACAAAAAATGGTGTTTATGAAAACTGAACAAATCTTATAAGCCTTGGTATTGAAAAAAGATACGCCGAAATTATTTCTACATGACTCTCTGTCATCGGTGGAAGTTTCTGGTTTCATCGACTCAAACACATTTGGGGTCGCAGAGTGAAAATTCTAAACTAATATAAAAACGAGGTTTTACTCAGCTTGCATATTATAAATTTAAGAAAAGTAATACAGCCATATTATTATTAATATACAGATATATATATATATATATATATAAATAAAACATACACGGTACATACCTACCGACAATTTGCAAAAACCCAAATTCTACTTCGACATAATAAAACATTCGTTATACAACTTTAACAAAACGGAAAAAAACACGTCGCCCTCTGCTTTATTATGTACATAATATGACGAGGTGACGCAATGAGGGTCAGATATTCAAGGTGAGGGACAGCCAGCCGAGTGGCCTAATACAGACCAGAAAGAGCTTGTGAATTATTTACCTACATCACGATCTAAGTGAAAAACGTAACGATTTAGAGAACGTTTAAAGATAAAATGAAATACTTATTAAGTTTTGTAATGCTTACCAATAAATGCAATTTTAAAATGAATAATATCTGATAGAATTCACCTAATAATTATAACACAACCGGGTTATAATTTGTTTATGATATTAATATAATAACTGGCGAGCAAAATATCTATATGATTTGCTCATGTGGCAGACTTTTTTAATAACGATAATTATACGATAAGAAACATCAAGGACCACGTCTGCCACCATGGTAGTCTGCGTTGTCAATTGAAACCCCCTTAAAAATTTAAAGAA